CAAAACGGGGCATGGTGCCACATGCGGCCCCTCTGCACCTTGTTTTGGGCCTGGAAAGCCTCATATACCAACTTGGAAGCCAAAACGGGGCGCAAGTGGGCCAGGACACATGTGTGGGGGACACGCATGCACAGGATTGGGGCATTCATTCTTTGGGCACTCAGCACCAAAAAGGTTAATCATCGCTGGTATAGGATCTCCTACCTGAGCAAGGGGCTAGACTAGAAGACCTGCAAGGTCCCTTCCAGCTCTATTCTGATTGATTGATATTCATTTTGTCATGGAATGTCTCAGAAAGTGTGAGTTAAAACATTTAGCCCTCTTCCTCCATATATATTTTAATCACAGGCCATTTCCCAGAGCTATTACTATGAAACACAGTATAAGTGTTGTGCTCCATCTATGTGTTGTGTTGCTCTGCAAAGCTTTCATTCTGCTTGCAGCCACAGGACTGAATCTGATATGAATTCTGCCACTTCTGCTAGATGGTCTCTGTAAGTGAGCCTTGTTTTTTCCACAATAGTATGTATGAATGCAAAGTGACTTTCTCAGTTTCTGTCTGAAGAATTCTCTATTTAAACAACGGGTCAACAAATCCCTCCATTAAAACAGGATTAACTGTACTTTCTTTCACTGAAGAATTGCCACTTGAGGATCGAATCAGTTTCTTAAGAGAGAAGTGGAGAAATAGTTGCTATTTGGCAGTTCTCCAAAGCAAGTAGCACCCCCACTGCTTTGTAATCAATGTTTCTTCACTGTGGGGGCAATTGATTAATCATGCAATTGGAGACTCTGGCAAGGGGAGGGGAAAAAGTAAAAAACAAAACAAAAAATCCCCTGGTCTTCCTATAAAACAATGCTTGGAAAAAAGTAGGAGTGAGTAGAAGATCGGTCAGAGCAGATTTCTGGGTATTTGCATTATATTGTAGGTGTTTCTCCCTCCTAATTATCTCATTGTAGAACCAACTCAGCAGCTTTGCTGAAAAAGAATACTTGTGGGAAAAACCAAGAACATACAGTATTTGTGTGTGAAAGGATTTGTGAGATTGGTTCTGGGGGGGTAACCACGCATTTCTGGGCTGAGCGCGTGTTTTTGCAGCGCCTTGTTTTTAATGCTTAACATTTGTCCCACAAATTTGAGCTCCTAGTTTTGCAGCCTGCTAAGAGGTTGGAAGGATTTGGGATTCCCTCTTTCTCTCTCATGGAATTTAGCAAGGCATCTAAGTCAGTGATGGGATTCAATTGTTTTTACTACCGGTTCTGTGGGTATGGCTTTGTGGACATGGCAGGGGAAGGATATTGCAAAATTCCCATTCCCTCCCCACTCCTGGGGAAGGTTACTGCAAAATCCCCATTCCCTCCCCACTCCTGGGGGAAGGTTACTGCAAAATCCCCATTCCCTCCCCACCTCAGTAACCTGCTTTCCAGCTCCGTTCTCCTGTTGTGAACAACAATAGAAGATCGGCTGGGAGGCAGCGAGGGCAGGGCCAGGCTATTTGCTGGTTCTCCGAATGACTCAAAATTTCCGCTACCGGTTCTTCAGAACCTGTCAGAACTGGTTGAATCCCACCACTGATCTAAGTGCATCTTGAAAGCCTGAAGTTTTGGGCCTGCCGCTACTCTTAGAAAGGGAAATGATTCATAACCATTCCTTATTGTCCTGTCTTTTGCCAATTTGCAAGTTTCTCAGCAAAAGAAGAAATCCAGTGGCTATTTCCGATTTGGAATCGGAAGCATCATTAATAGCACCAGGACCATTCTGATCAGGGGTGGGTTTCTCGCCCCGTTCCAACCGGTTCGGGTGGAACGGGGCCGGCGGCGTCTTCGTGCACGCGTGCGGTGCACGCATGTGTACTAGCGTCTGCGCAATGCTCCAGCTGCTCCTGGAGGATTGCGCAGGCGCTGTATGCGTCCTGCGCATGCGTGGAAGCGCAGAACTTGTCAAAACTGGGTAAGGACCGCGGGCGGGCGGGCAGGCCCTTTGCCGTTCCTGGAAGTTACTTACTTCCGGGTTCGCCGACCAACCGGTTCGCAGGGACCGCCGCGAACTGGTTGAAACCCACCCCTGATTCTGATACAATGAGGAGAAGTGTCTATTTTCTTCTCTAAATAACTGCTTTGCTTGCCAGTAGTCAGGTGCCCTGACTTCCAAAGCATTTCCGGATCTTTCGGCTGATTGGGGTTGGAATGCAAGGTGGAGACAGAGTCATATTCATGGGCATGAATCCTCCTCTGGATTTCTGAAACCCTTTGAATTGTGCAAAAACACATGTGCCGTTTTTAGAGGTAGGGTTCACTTGAAAGGAATTTGGCTTTTCTCAAATGTGCTACCTTCTTTCTCCCTTCTTTTCTCCCATAAAATGGCTAATATCATCAAGAAATGCTATTTCATGCTCTCTGCTACTACAGAGAAAATATTATTGTATTTTTGTGAGCCAATGCGAGATTATTAAAAACCCCAGAAATGTAAGGAAATGACACACACTGAGCACTATTTGTTTATGAAATAGAAATAAAGTGACGTTACACAATGAATTTGAACACATTGTCATCTGTTCCCCTGTTGTGTATTCTTTCATTTAGCTATTGTTATTAATAACTTTGTTTAACTGGCATTTTTCTTTCTGCCCCAAAGCTGTAAGGATAATTGAAAACATATTTTTTAAATGTCTTGTTAGAACACATATTATTACCATAGATTGCAAACATTGCTATGCAACATATCATAATTAAAGATGGAGTTTTTTCTTGTGCACGTTGACATGGTAAAGTTAACCAAATGATATATTGTATCATATTGAAATTCCTCATAAATTAAAAATAGCATTTGGATCTATTATGATTTTTCTATATTTCTCATTTGTCCAATTTTAACTACAATTTGTCCCTGGTTTCCATCTTTTGATGGAAGGTTTGCCGTGCCAATGCACACACATTTCGATCTAACATGCATGTCTATTTATGCATATAATTTTGCCAACTATTCACATCTCTGCAACGTATTTCCTAAAAAATGAATTTTTGCCTACTTTGAAGAATATACATATTTTTCCACACTTTGTAATTTTTGTCAGAGAATTAACACCAGAAATAGTCAGAAGATATAATTTTCATAGGATAACTCATTTTTAATTCATTCATCTGTCTGAACATAGGAAATCAATTATACCACCTATTTATTTAGTACAGTTGATATATTTCCTCATAATATGCACACACATGGATTCAGTTTGATTGTGTTTAGTAGTTGTATCCAGTTCATTGGTGGGTTCTTACTGGTTTGGACCGGTTTGGCCGAACTGGTAGTGGTTTGACGGCCTGGGTCTCTGGAAATGGCAGCGACTCAGGCCTGCCACGAACCCGAACCGGTTTTCTGGGTGGCGCCATAGGCATTGTTTTTTGCTTCTGCGCATGCACAGAACAATTTTAATTGCACTGCGCATTGCACACAGTGCACATGAAGTGCATGCACGCATACGCAGCACGCACACAAACGAACCAGCAGTAGTGCTTGCTGGAACCAACCCCTGATCCAGTTAGCTGTAGAATAATAGATTGTGTGATATAAATTGGAAAATACTTTGCAAGATGACCTGATATGAATGCTTTTTTGTATCCTTATCTTTCTAGACTCTTCTCTAAGATAATGCTGATTATTTCTGTCCCGCAGGTGCAGCTGGCAGCAGCTCTAAATGTTCCTGTGGCCGCAACCATTTTACCTGTGCTGTTAGTGCTTTTGGCGAATGCACTTGTATCCCTGCTCTGTGGCAGTGTGATGGTGACAACGACTGTGGGGACCATAGTGATGAAGATGGTTGTAGTAAGAAAATAATCCATAATTAGGAGGGAGGGATTGAGGCTGAAGAAGTTTTATATGTGTTTTTTATGCTTTTGTATTTGGTTCTTTTAAAAAAGCATATGCCTTGTTTTTTTCCTAAAGGGTCACTTTAAGACTATTATTAGAATCCGGAAGACCAAATGCATGTTGCTAAATTATGAAATGCTGAAACCTGATCTCTCTCCAACCACTTGTCTTTGACCTTCTTGGAAACTAGTGGACGCGGGTTTTTGTTACATTATGCTTTGTGCTCCTTGGATACAGCAAAATCGAGTTTTGCATTTTGTGTTTATTTTATGACCTAACAGGGACTCAACTTCCACTATCACATCATTATAAAAGACATGTAAATGGTGGCTTTTAACTCTGGACTGTTACGCATTTTGAGATCACCATTCATTGATTGGCAGATGTAGACAAAGTTTATAACTGGCACTGATGGTACAGGAAAGTATAAGCTAATGGAGATCTTGGTGATTTTTAAAATACACTCATAAGTTGAGAATGAAGAGGTTTAGGAGGGGAGAGAAAGTGGACTGGAGACAGAAGAAGGATGCAGAGTGAAACATGGTCATAGGAGAGTCAGGAAGGATGTAGTATGTAGTAATCAACAACAAGATAAATTTTATAAAATGCTTCATGCTAAGTTAGTACATTGGGACTTTAGATCCTGTATATTACTGGGTGACTGGAATGGCGTCATGGATACCAAGAAAGACAAGAAGGCTCTCTGCCAAAATACCCAAAAGCGAGCGAAATTACCTAACTCCTTTTTTGATGTGATAGAGGATTTTGAATTGAGAGATATCTGGCGAGAAAGGAATGCAGAAGAATATGACTTTACTTTTTTCTCTGATAGACATCAATCCTTTTCTAGGATCGATTTTATACTAACAACCAATGATTTGCTTTCTAGGGTAAAGAGGACGAAGATATGCTCCAGAGCCTTATCAGATCATAATCCGGTTTGGATGGAGTTGGGAGTTGGGATCCGAGCAAGAAGGTTTTGGAGACTGAATGAAAACTTATTTAGATATGAGAAAAACATTAATGAATGTAAAAAGTTGTTAAAAG